TATTACGTTTTTAAAATCTTTTAATGAAAAAGGATCATTTTGTCATCGACCACTGGTATCTCGGTAACCAGTGATCACAAAGAGAATGTAAGAGTATTTCCGAAAACTGGATATATGTTAACAAATTTTCAATTGCTTTTTTTGAAACTGAAGATGTTACAGATATCCAATAGTGACAACAACAGAAGAAACATTATTTTTCCATTTTCAACCAGACTACATGATGTTTTATAACTCCTTTGATTTCTTTACTGCCCCTACTGAGCAGGGCCGTGGCGAATGCTTGTTCCGGTATACAACTTCTTCCCGTTCAAGTGATTGTACACACGTTAAGGAATACCTCAGTACCGTTTGCCGGGTGGCGGAATAAGTCATCACTACTTGCAATCCAATCGTCAAGCCATGCTTTTTTTGGCGGAGACAAAAATCTCAGAGTCTGCGCCGATCAACCATCTTAGCTTTCCAAATTACGAGATGCACACCAATCTGGAAAAGAACGAGGGAATTGTGGCTTTTGTACGCAGCAGTATTTCCTGCTCCAGAGAAGTTTCTTTGGAATCAGACCGGTTTTGACAGATCAGAGGACAGCAGTCAACCAGTGACAGTGACAGGTATTAGAGTGTGTCGAAACTATCTTGGGGACTAAAATTGCTTCGCAAAAGGCATTTAATGATCGATAACTCTTCTCTTATGGACGGTCTGGGACACCTTCGCACCGAAGGACCGTTGGCGATCTAGCTACGCCAACTGCCTTTGCTCCTCAGAGCTCTCTTCCATGGTGTCGCCGCGCGATATGCCTGCCTGACTTCGGCCTCCCATCGTAACCGTGACCGCTTCTTTGTCCCGAGGGTGTCGAAATCGTATAACAATCTACATGAGGAGCTTTTCCAAGTTCTAATAACTTTAGGCAGCTCATTTCCTGAATTCATTTATATTGAGATTTTAAAATAAATTGCACATTAACGGTGCCTCGTTTTCTCCTCTACAAGTAGGCATAATCAGAATTTCTATATGACGGTTCGTCTCTTGTCCTCCAGCATCAGCTTTATTATTTCTTAAGGACGCTATATTGCATTTTTGGGCAGATGAATAGAGTTTTTAATTTTGATTCAAAAAATGCATAATATGTCATACATTGACGTTGCCAAACCTTAGGCCCGTATCGTCAGTCGACCCTACAATTGTAGGGCGCGTTTATGGCCTCCTTGATTGTCATACTCCTTTCTCTCCTTCAAAAATTTTTAGATTACACTTGTCCCGTGTCAGCGTCAGCGCTCTCCTATTGTGAAGATATGTTTTCTTTTTAAATTGTAGGAAATTTCAGGTTGATAAAACATGATATAACTCAAACGCACGCACAATTTGATGCAAATAGATGTTTGTGACATAACCTCAAAATAGAGTTTTGACACGGAGAAGTAGAAAACTATGACAATCAAGGAGGCCATAAAGGCGCCCTACAATTGTAGGGACGACTGACGATACGGGCCTTAGTTACATCAAAAAAAAAATTCTTTGTTAGGCCTTGAAATTATCAGTTGTTTGTTTCGCTCACCAAATGTATCCCAAAATCGCACTATTTTTTCCTGACTTTATTAGACATGGGATTTCAAAATAAATTGCATATTGTCATTGTTACTTATTCTCGTCTACAAGACGGCGAAGTCACATTTTCAGTTCGACATTTCTTCTTTCGACTTCCATCATCAATTTTGTTTTTTCATATGGAGACTATATTGGAATTTTGTACATTTAAATGGACTTTTCAGCCCTAAATTGAGTGATGTATTTCGTTAGTTGACCATAAATTTGTTGTGGGATGAAAATTATAAGGAAAGGTGATATGATAATTTCGAGGCCTACCTAGGAACTTGTGGAATAACTAAGGTTTTGCAATGTCAATGTAAGACATATACATTGTTGAAATAAGAATAAAAATTGTGTGTAAAAAAATAAGTTGATGCTGGAAGACAAGAGACGAAACGTTATATTGAGATTCTAATTGTGCCGTCTTGTAGAGGAGAAAATGTGGCAGAGTTGATGTGCAATCTACATATATTGAAATCCCGCCATAAATAAAGTCAGGAGAAAATTATAACCATTTTGGGAAATTTCGTTTTTTACGTTTCTTTCCAGAAGTACTTTTAATTTCAAAACTTTTTAAGCGACATTTTGCTGATTATCTCAATACGCAACTTTGCCCCTATTTAAGCGACTTCGTATCCTTAAAGTTTCCGAGATCCCAATGGTGAGGGTCGAATTTAAAATACCCTGTATAGGGAAAATATTATTTTCACCCCAACAGAAGCAGTCGGCCACTCCCTCTCCGTGGGCACCCATGAGAAAAAGCTGTATCACAAAATCTCCAGAATTCGTTTTTTTTTTATCGGCTTTTGGGTTGGACTTACATAGCTGGAACATATAAATATTGATTGTGCATACACTTCGAGGCTGGGCGACAAGGGAACAAAAATCCTACTAACTGAGATTTATTGAAAGTCATTCACAATACTTGTACATTTCTCATGCATAATCACTGCAGACATTTATTCAGAATTCTTACTATGTATTTACTTCTTCAACTTGTCATTCGATGTGTGTGTTTATACTTCTTATATGAGAGTTGAATGGAAATTACTGAGTAAATCTACTTGACATTTTTGGGTGCTGTTATTTTTTCTATAAAGTGTCTATGTTTTCATCTCTAGAGGAAAATTCGGCCACATTCGGGCAGTTGGACGAAAAATCCTAGATCATTCTACTATTTCATTATCATTCATTATCATTTACTACAAATGAACATACCCCAACTTTTCCAAAATTATCTACTTCATTCTGAAAAATTTTACATTCAAATAATGATTGTACTTGATTTGTAGCTCTGGCAATTCACTGGCAAATTATCGGTTGACTAATTTGACAATCAGAAGTTTCTGTACGAACAGCGGATTGTCGGTAATCGGTCTTACCTCCCTCAGCCAACTCGTAACGTTCTCATGTACGCAATCAGTACAGTGAGCGACGTGTCAGTGACAGCTAACTGCGTAAACTAGGTCATGACTTGTCGCCGACTATCAGTTTGCTGATTGTTGTCAGCAAACAGGCTGTACGAACAAACCATATGTCGATGTTTTTTACATTGTATTGTTTTTTTGTGACTTTATGTAGGTTTTTCTACAAGATGTTAACTAGCACTAGCTGATGGGCACGTTGTGAACTCGTTTTGTAGTTGTACGTGTTGCCTAAACGTCATGAGGCTACAGTTATCAATGTCTGGCTCTGATGTGATGTAAAATCCGCTTTAGAGGTGGCATTACTGGAGGTCCACTTTTTCTTATCCATTCTGGTAATTACATATGCAAATTTGCTGAATTTCAAAAATGAAAGAGATAAGAAATAATTATATTCACTGTACACTGTCGACTTACAAGTCATATACATGCTAAAAGTAATTACACACAACGCGGGCGCGGTGGTGATTTCCCTTAATTCTCCTCAAATTTTTTGAAAACAAAAGAACGTAAAAAATCGAAATTTATAACTTTGAACATAACCTGTCTTCAGACAGGACAACAGATAAATAACCTGTCGGGCACTGCTAATAGATAATAAATCATTGGTAGCATATTCAGTTATGATTTTCTCACACAGCAAATATTACTGATTTTATACACATGCAGACCAAAACACAATAATCCAGATGCGATCTTGCCATTCAACCAACCTTCTTCTCAGAGATGAAAACTATAGACTACTCGGCTTCACAAATCATATGCAACCAACAATGCATGTAGTTGAGCCATTCCTCCATGGTGTAAAACGTGGAATGACTGTTTGCACCCTAAAAACTACCTAGGCTGCAAGATGACATTTTATGTTTTTTTTATACTCCCAACTACCACAAAGGCCTAAGCACCCATTGGGTACCGTGGGGCTATAGGGGGATACATGGGAACACGTGTCCATGCAACATGCACACATTCTGGCTCCGCCTACGAGATCCGCCGGGTGGTACCTCCGCGTTCGACAGTCAGAGACCGTCTACCACCTACGGGCAATCAAAACATCCATAGCCAAGAGAAAAATTTCTCCTGGGACGGAACTCGAACCCGCACAGCGCACGGCGACTGATCAGGAGACCGAAGAGTCTACTACTGCGGCCACTGCTGCTGCCTAGACGTTTTATAGGTTTTTCATATAATACCCGTGCCGGGTCAAATGAGAATAAACTAGTATAAGATATGTTTTAGCGATGATTTTCAAACGGTTTATAACCGTCAAATTCTGTTGACTAGACTGAATTGGTTATCTGTTTCCAACCGTCTACAATTCGCTACTTTTTTTTATTTATATCGAAGCAGAAGCCTAAATGCCGGAACACCGCGGCTGCTATGATGATCCCAAAGAAATTTTGTTACTACTGGTACTAAAACATGCCTTTAGTTCTTTTCACGGTTTTTGGCGGTTATGTCATTAATGCCATCCGAAATAAGCAAATCGACTAACTGAATTATGTACGGAGCTGAAACTCCATAGGAAAATTACACACTGAGAAACCAATCTTGAACGGAGCTGCTGTTGCACACATATAAAATACTTTCTGAAAATAATCCATTATTTTTAGTGAAAAACTGTCGGTATTGTCGTTTTTGCATTTTTAGGTGCTACGATGTGATAGTGACAAACATAGATTAGAAATACTCATACGTTGGCGAGAGAATTTAATCTTTCTTGATTATCGATAATTTACATTTAACGCACGAAATTATACCTTAGATCCAACATTAAAAAAATTGTTGTTCGTAATGGGAAGTCTTACCGGCTATCGTCTTTTTTCTCCTCTGACTTGGAACTTATTTTGTAACGATTTGCATTTTCCTCAGGAAAAATGCTCTTTATAGCTGGGTATCGGAAGACTTGACATTTAAAGATATAACCATATGATCGATGTTCTTGTTCACGTCTTTAGACCATAATTAGATACTATGCTTATTTTTTAGGGTTCCGTGTCAGGTTCGGTCCAAGCAACCGATCGGCTGATGAAAGAGCTGCGCGACATCTACCGTTCGGACTCGTTCAAAAACAAAATGTACCAGATCGAACTAGTAAACGATTCGTTGTACGAATGGAATGTTAGACTGATGTCTGTGGATCCGGACAGCCCGCTAAGCCACGATCTGGCCGTGCTGAAAGAGAAGGAGGGCAAGGATGCGATATTGCTCAATATGCTCTTCAAAGACACCTACCCGTTTGAACCGCCGTTCGTCAGGGTGGTACATCCCATTATTTCAGGTAAGTTACTATGTGCCATACTTAAGTTACTAAAAATGTCCTTAATACTTGAGGACCCTTTGACGTTTGCTTTATTTTGCCTCCGTTCAGGCGCTATATAAGGTTTGCTGAAGTGTAAGTGAAGCTAGATGATTCGTTCAAATGAATGGAAAGGATCATATATTATAAGCGGGGCTTCGATCCTTAAAATAGCCCAAATTTCAAGTTGGTTGCATCGATAAAATGTTTGCATCTATACATTTTAAAACGTACGTATTTTAAATTCAACATTTTTTATTTCATCTTAATTTCCAGTCAAAAAATCACCCATTAACGAATGTTTAACATTTTTATATGATCGCATCGTCGGAACATTTTCTACTTCAAATCTATAATTGGATACACTAAGATAAAAAGTATTGCTCTACCGCGCTCACATTAAAAACAGAACTTGAGACAAAACAATACACAATTATAATGAGAATTCAACTTTTGTTTTTAATGTTAGCATAGTGGAGCAACAGTTATTTTTATATATTTATGTTTTGTTAGTGTGTATAGATTTGAATTAAAAAGTGTTGGTCATAAAAATACTTCAGTTAAAAATCCGACAGTTTGTGAATCTTGGACAAAAATGCCAAAATTGCAAACTTGGTGCTTTTAAAAAACAACCAAGTACTAAAGTAAAATGTTGATATCAGTCTAAAATACAGGGTCCGTCAGAAAGAACGCATGCTTTTCAAATGGGTACTACATCGAGTGGGCTGGTCCCGTGTCGGTGGGGAACGGCGTGTTGGATAGTGAGAGAAGTGCTGTTTCAGTTGACAAGACGGTTTGGAACGTTGAGCATCGTGTGTTCGCTGTACGTCGGTACTTTCAAAATGGCAAGTCTGTCGTTCGAACACAACGTGAGTTTCGCGTTCACTTTCGTGTTCTGCGTCGTGGGACAGTACCAGACCGTAATACCATTTTGAGATGGGTGGAAGCATTCAACACAACAGGTACTGTGATGAAGAAAAAACCGCCAGGGCGAAGCCGAACTGTTAGAACCCCCGAAAACGTAAAGTGAGAGTTGACACGCTGCAAAGCCCGAATCGTTCCGTCCGTTTGCGTGCCAGTTCCCTAGGGATCAACGCGTCCTCTGTACGTCGCATCTTGAAGAAGGATTTAGTGTTCCATCCTTACAAAATCCAAGTTTGTCAACAACTTTTGCCAGTGGATTATGCACAACGTGTTAATTTTGCACAGCTCATGATTGAACAGTTGGATTACAATTACATTTCGTTGTTTATGAGTGATGAAGCACATTTTCATTTACATGGATACGTCAACACAAAATTGTCGATGTTGGTCTCCAGTGAACCCCCAACAGTTGCATGAGCACCCCCTGCATACCCCGAAAATTACAGTTTCGTGTGCAGTAGGCCCAACGATGATTATTGGCCCTTACTTTTTTGAGGATGATGGAGAAACAACTACTGTGAATTCAGAGCGTTACTTCCACATGCTGAACAACTTACCTGAAATCAAAAGATTACCAAAGCAAGCCTCGGACCCTTGTCGATTTGAAGGAGGAAATAAGAAGAGTAGAAATAACCCAAATTCCTGCACGGATGCTAGCCGACACAATGGACTCATTTCGGGAGAGGCAGGATTCCTGCATTTCGGCTCAAGGGCGCTATTATGACCGAAATAGTTTTTAGAACGTAAATTTTGTTTTACTCAAAAAATGACATGTATTTCTGAGTATTTTGATATAATAAATATTTGTTCCCGTACTTATTTTGACTGTACATTTAACAAACATGCGTTCTTTCTGACAGACCCTATACATAATTATGTTCTAAAATATTTGAATGTAGAAATTTCATAGAAGTGATCAATTTGAAATTTGAGTTATTTTTAGGGCCGAAAGTCCGCCTATAGACCATAATCCTTTGTGGAAGGTCTGTTCATGAAATTCAGTTTGAAATGTGGTATAAAAAAAACAGTTGCGGGCAATGCTGCAGTTGTGTCACTACCCATTAATTTTATAAAATGTATTTCTTTTATCCTGATCAATGATGCAATTAGCTCACGCTAATATTAGAATTGTTTTTCAATATATCTCAATGCAAAATAAGTACAAGGTGCGCGATCTGTTACCAGAACTGATCACGGCGAAAGTGAAAACATCGAGCTGACTGTTGGAACTGTATGCCAGTTTGCATTGCCAGCCGGGTCACTACTTCGGCCGCTCGATGCCACCGGTTTTGGATCTATAGTAGATACATCTACTCGCTATTGAAATTAGTAATATAGCTTTCGTTCGTCCGACCACAGACAGCCTTCCATGGACAGCTGTTTTGTGCTACTTGACACCTCCTCCACGAAAGCTATATCACTTCTACTAGTAGGTTCAAAGGCGAACGAACACTACTTTTTGTTCACTAAATTTGCTATTGGCCATTATGCTGAGCACACAACAAGCCATTCGAAGCGAGAATTAGATGATCGATATGTTTTGATGAAAATACGGCTTAAATAGCGCGCACCTTATTGACCAATTGTCATTTGTGGCTTATCTTGATAGCATATCTTGATTTGTTGAATATTGATTTGTCTCAGGGGGTTACGTGTTGGTGGGAGGTGCAATCTGCATGGAACTGCTGACGAAGCAAGGTTGGTCAAGCGCGTACACTGTGGAGGCGGTGATCATGCAGATATCGGCCACACTGGTCAAAGGTAAAGCGAGGATCCAGTTCGGAGGAGCGGCCAAGGTGTGCAGCCAACACGGTGGACAATACAGTCTCGCTAGGGCTCAACAGAGTTTCAAGAGTCTCGTGCAAATACACGAAAAGAACGGTAAGTTGTCTTTAGTCCTAGCGCGGTGGTCGAGAATAAAAAGGCCATTCTTATGCAGGATGGTAAAACCAGTGCGTTGATGCGTTTAAGAGGTCATTATTATAACATATCTTTTATCGTTGGCGACACTGTATACACGGTGTTTCCTAATTGAATGTTTATATTTAAGGTGTCGATTTTTGAGTCCATTTTAAGAAGAGAACTTAATATAAAGTCCTAAACGTATTCACTTTTGGGATACAGGGTGATAATGTTTTCAAAAAATTTGCAGATACAGACACTTTGATTTTTTTTTAGTCCGGTGTTCACAAGATAAAATAAAATCCGTTCCTCAGCATGGTGAGATTGTCATATTAAAGATATTGTTATGATCATGAGTAACTGTTTTTATTTTTTAAGCTAAAACTATGAATTGGATTGAAATGATTAATTAAATTTGCTTAGAAATTACTGGGGATTTCAAGAATAATTTTTTACTTAACAGAAATCAGTTGCATTTAAATGTTATATACTTTTCTGTAATTGCCAATGTGACTTACTTTATATTTACAGGTTTTTTCGGCATATTTGTTTAAACGCATACGTGACTTTTAGTTGCACATTGACAAGTCTCAACGTGCAACATGATCTACAAGGTCAATAAACCAGTGTTGCCGATTTTTTGATATTTATACGGAAATACAGAAAACGTCCCCATCTTTCACAATTTCTTTAAGCCACATTTTATTAAAATATCTTAAGTGGTATTACAGATCTTAATAATAGGTTCATTAGGAATGAAGTTTGCGCTCAGCTCGAATTAATTACAATTATTTGATAGTTAACGTAATCTATTTTTCACGACACTTTATTAGGTTCGGACATCTATTGAGGGAAATAGCTGACCATCAAGTGACATCTTTGTATAGACTCTGTACTGTTGTCAACAATGAATTGGGACACATTCAGAACTGCTTACACAAAACAGAAATGAAATTTTATTTTCATGTATACCTTCAATTACTGGGCATTCTAACAATTAATTTTATGAAGTACACATATTTTTTTGTACTCCAACTACCACGAAGGCCTAAGGCCTAAACACCCATAGGGCACCGTGGGGCTAAAGTGGATACAGGGGAAAGGGGGAACGCCACACGGACTCTGGCGAGAGAACACGTGTGCATGCAACATGCACACATTCTGGCCTCGCCTACATGATCCGCCGGGTGGTACCTCTGCGTTCGACAGTCAGAGACCGTCTACCACCTACGGACAATCACAACATTCATAGACAAGAGAAAAATTTCGCGAAACCGCACAACGCATGGCGACTGATCAGGAGGCCGAAGAATCTACTACTGCGGCCACAGCTGCTGCCCATAGAGGAATATTCATTAAAATATAATTATAGTATGTCTGGGATTTATCAAAAGTATGAATCCGCATAAAAAACATTAAATCACGACTATCTACAGATCCGTCAGAGTCATGCGTCTTTTGTCAATATGGTGTATTTGATTGTTACTAGATAAACAGTTGTTATTTGTGATCACATCTTGCTGTGATAAAGTATCGTATGAAGTGAGTACAAGTACATTGACCCTATTTTATTCGGAATATATGGAGTTACAATGCGATAGTTTCAACAAAAAAATCAATGAACGTATTGTACCTCGAAGGTAATATTCCCGAACAAGTAATGGAATAGTGGTAGAGAATCTTCAGTTCATTTAAAATTGCGTCGTATGTTAACAGTCAAACGATTTGCGTTATTTCACATACGGGTGTATGGCTATTAACATATGTCTTCATGTGTTGTAGTTTAAATTATTTCCCTAGCCGCATTTGTATCACAAACTGAGGATAAAGTTTTGGGTTGGGTATTTGCGTATTGTAACGGACGATTGCGATCTCTTCGCCCGTTTTTTTTTAATTTGTACCCCCAGTCGCGAACGACGTTAAATTTTGGAGTTAATTGTTGTCATTTCCGTTTTTGAAAACGGACCAGCCTACCAACGAACCACTGTTACAAAACTGTCGGAAAGCCTAACGTGAGGGCTTGGAATTGAGAAGTTTTGTTATCGGAGTGTTCAGAGCTGGCTGGAATTTTGCACCTTTTTGTGGTACATATTGTGGGGGTTAACCAAAGAGACAAAAAAGTTCGAACAGCAGGTGACGGAAAAAAGGTTTTTCACCTATTCTAAGAGATCGAGCATCAGGTGACTGAAAAAAGATTACTCTGTGCAAGGGGGTGATATTTAATGGCATGAGTTGGGTCTCTGCATGAAGTGAAAAGTATATCTCACATGTTGAGATCCCCTAAACAATGCTTTTTGCCATGGCGTATCAACTTTCAAGAAAAATACGGGATCCGGAGGGTGACGGGAGAGGGTGGATTGATTTTAGCATTAATCATATTATAAAATCACAAGATTAGTGTTACGGTCTTACGTTTGAATTAATCTTCACACATTTTGACCTCTATTGAGGTTATCTGCTGATCAGCAAGTAACATCTTTGTGATAAGTCTGTATTGTTTGCAAATCTCATTACTGTATTCAACACTATTTAAACCAAACACTATTAAATTTATTTTCACATACATACTTTCACAGACTGGAGACTTGGCAATGAAATGTATGTAGTACACAGAATGCGGTCACAGAGCACCCTCCCTGCTTTATATGAATTTTGTCTACATACCATCATAGTTGTGTGCCAGTTGATATGGGGCATTTTGGATGGAGCTAGATAGTCAGCTGTTATTTGTTGACACGCTTAGCACTGATCAAGTATCGTGACAAACAGTTTACTTTTGTAATTAGATTGTATAAAGTGGATTCATCTACTACATATGACATCTTAGTGTAGACGTTGACCAAATTTAAATTTCATTATGTAGATGCTTGACATCAATGCATTCCTTTTGGAATATTTACGAAGAAGCATAAATTATATCGGTTTTTTCAGGATGGTTCACTCCCCCAAAGGAAGACGGCTAAGCCGACGTCAGACTGTGCCAACCTACAACAAAAAAAACACCAACCCTCCGTGTAGAGTCCCTTATTTTTGTTTGTTCTTTGCCGTAAATCAACTGTCGTATCGGATGTTAATGTCTTGAATCCCTCAAAAATATCCCCTTATTAAAGATTGATTTGACTTAGTGCCTACAGGTTATTTTACATTCGCTTCTATCGGGCAACTAAAACGGTTTCAACAAAGTATTGGAGATACTTTAGAACGTGTGATTACGACGGGTCAAATCTGATGGGTTGATGTTGATTGACCTATAAACTGTAGGCTTTTCAGAGACATAAAGGTCTTCAAATGAAATCCGGCTTGTATATTTGGTCTACCTCACAATACGTTGGTCGAGAAAGCAGATATTTTCGAACTATTACCAATTATTATCGTACCTTATATTTGCAATTACGTATTAAAATAATGCAATAGGAATCCTGTAATCTAGATTATCTAGATTACAGGATATCACTGTTAATTGCTCTCATATTTTCTGCGCAAAACGAACATGTTTTTCTATCAGTCACGAGATGTTTTCCTGTCCCTTTAAAATGCACATTACTTGCATTCGTACAAATGCGAAGGATAAAATAACGTTTAACATTTCCATTTTCGTGTTTGTCAGTTGTGTCGGATATCAGCGATGTACCGAGTGGTCACGCAATATCTTTGTTTAAATATACTCTTCTAGGCTAAAGAGATTGTCTAAAGCAATTATACACTCACTCGTTTGACATATTTCAGGATACATCATTTTAGCAATGGTTCCATATCCATTATTGCTTATTAATTCATTTCCAATGAGCAGTTAAAAGTGCCGGTAGCCTAAGGCGCAATCCACACAGAACGGGCGTGTGGTGGTGGCGTGGGACTGGCGTGGTGCGGTAGAGGAACAGACGTGGCGCGTTCAATTCACACTGAAATGTCAGAACTCAGTTTCCCTCAATGCGTGGATCACGGAGTGACGACTGACGATGCTTTCGGATTACGAAGATGATCAAGATATGTTAGACCTTCTCAATTTAGCTAACATACAAAGGCAAAGGAGATACTGGATACATCCTTTGTGGCTAGATAAAGGGAAAACTAGTAGTTCGTTCAACGTTATGCGGGAGCTCAATATGTACCCTGAACGTTTTCAAAGTTTCTATCGAATGTCCAGTCAATGTTTTTATAAAATACTGGCATTAGTAAGGGTAGATCTTGAAAAGAAATCAACAAATTGGAGAGAACCGGTCAGTCCAGATGAGAGGCTGTTAATACCGCTGAGGTAAGTTGAAAAAATATATTAAAGTAAATTGAATTAACTCAAATAAAAGAAAACATAAAATCAGTAATATCAGGTATTAATTATTGTATCGTATAAACTCAGTCATATTGAAAGGGTCGTTGGTTTGCGGTTGAACCTGGGTTTCTATTCACCGAATCTTCAACCCAAGATTGAGAACCATCCATTGGTGGAGTAGTAGCTTCCAGATTTGTTGAGGATAGTATTTGCTCGGCCAAATTTAAAATGCCCATTTTGAAACGCCGTTTCTGGTTAGAGTTCATAGACTTCATGTCGGGCAGAACACTGTGTAAAAATGCCAGGTTAGGATCAGGAGGATCAACTGTGGTATTTGTTTTCGTGACGTTCTGGATCTCCAGTACTTTTTGTTTTTTCTCAAAATACTGAAAAGCTTGCTGGTTGACATCATTTATAGAGGTTGCTAACTTCTTTTTTTTTTTAAATCATCTCCTTTCCGTGATGGTGTTTTAGGTGCTTTCATTGTTAACAGGTGATCATCGACAGAAGTACTGGGAGATGGTATAGGTGCATGCGTGGATAGAATGTAATCGGGTGATTGAACCTCAGTGTTGCCGTTTTCTTCATATTCATTAGCATCTGTTTCCCCATCAGCTGATAATGCAGACTCTTCAGCTATGTTGCCTTTGCTTTTGCGAGACTTCAAGAAAGGATCCAAGAAGAGGAGATGTGGGGCCAGATAACATTCTTTGACTCGTTGAGCTCCTTGTCCTGATTTGGTTTGTAGTTTTGCCCTATATTTTGAATAGCTTCCTCGTATATTCTTCCAGCGGTCTTTACACTCGGATACTGAAACAAAAACAAAAATTATACATTTAAATATACGTTAAAACAAAATACTGGTCTGTATAAAGTGAACATCGATTGCCTATTTTCAGGTACTTCGCGACTGGATGTTCATTCAAAGCCCTTTCCTTCTACTTCCTGAAAGGTCATTGTACTACACAAGAGATTGTGCATCACACTGCCCAAGTCATATGGAAGAAATTACAACCTGTCTATATGCCAAAACCTACACAATGAATTGTGGAATCTTCCCAACTGTATTGGTAGCGTAGATGGCAAACATATTCGAATAAAAGCACCACCGCGGTCAGGATCTGCTTTCATCAACTATAAAGGGTTTTTTCTATTGTCTTACTTGATGTGGCAGATGCAGATGGCCTATTTCTAACAATCGATGTAGGTGAATTCGGACGCAATAGCGTTGAAGGAACGACGACGTCTGAATATACCTGAACCAGCTGCATTACTTGGAGAAATGCATCCATCAATTCCCTACTTTTTGTAGACGATGAGGCTTTTCCTCTATCCTCAAATTTAATGAGACCCTTCTCTCGAAGAGAGTTGATAAGTCACGAACGAAAGATTTTTAATGTCAGATGTTCCAGAGCACGGAAATCAGTGGAATGCGCTTTTGGTATGCTTACAACAAAGTTCGGGCTTCTACAAACACTTATTCGATGTGATCCTACTAAAGTTAATGATCTAATTCAAGCAATGTGTGTGTTGCACAACGCGATTAAGGAGTGTGATGGCACATTCTCAAGGCCCCAATATGAAAACGTTATTGTTGCCGATTCCACTCCAGTACAATTAATACAAAACCATAGAGATATGAGAATTTACCTCAGCAACTATTTTAAAGACCGCGCACCAATTCCTCATCAGGATAGATACTGCGTATGAATGGAATCAGATACTCTGTAATATAAACAAATCAATAAACATGTACCTACTTACCATTTGCACTGATTTTTTTTTGATATTTGTTCCCATGCCTGGTCTTGTGCACTTCTGTTGCAGTAATCCGATCGTCTGTAATCATATAGAACTGCATAATGTTCCACTAGTTCACAGAACTCGATATTAAATTGAAAATCGTCCCGCATTTTGATTAGCAAACACCAAAAATCAACAAAAGTAGCTGTCAGGTGTATGGCATTTGCCACTAATGTAGGCCACTCGTGGTGTCGAAGTGGTACGGCGGTGGCGCGAATTATTTCGCCGGTGCCACATCACTTCTGTCTGTATTGCTGCATAAACGAACATGTGATGACACATGCCCCTGCCACGCCAGACCCTCGCCACCACCACGCGCCCGTTCTGTGTGGATTGCGCCTAAGAAGCTTCTTTGTAACCCACATTGTAACTAAGTCTCTGACCAACTCATCTCTTGAGACTCATGCTTTTGCATTACCTAAACGCTAGTAGCATGTGGCTGTAATCTCAACAAAACTATCACTATCATCAAACAACTGTAAGATAATAAATTTTTATTATCGTTTCGGATTTCATGAGAGGTAACCTTCTACATAAACATAGAAATGTTCTAGGCCAGTGTTCAGTGTCCACTTTCTTGATGAAAAAGTGCAATGTCATTGTTTGAAGTTATTATATTTTTTCTTGTTTTGATTGAAATGTTTTTTGAACATGTTTTGTTGCTATGAAACTAGCAATACATGGAAAATTTGCTTAAATTGTTTCATGAAAACCAGAGTCTTCTATTTTGACAGTGACATGTTACAGGAATACTAGTAGTGATCAATGGACGCATTTTACTAATTCCAAGCAAAAAGTTTGATATGGGTAATCATTCTGATTTGTATTCAAAAATGTTATAAGGAATGAGTCAATAAAATTTCCATTGTCAGATATTTTTACTTCTCACGCCTTACTGGCCAGGAAGCTCTGTCCGCTAATCCTTGGACCGCCTATAACTTCGAAAGTGCTGATCGGACTTGGATGAAATTTTCGCACACGGTTACTACTATGCCAAGGACTGTTTTTGAAAATCGATCCAGTGGCAGCTAAAAAAATGCCAAAAAAGAAAAAAGTAAAAATAGCTTCGTGTTTCCAAGTTCCAATAGGGGTAACAAATTTTGGGGTAGGAAGGGTATATCTCAGTTTTTTGAGTATATTGCTTCGTTTGAACATAATCCTTCATGAACTGATGACGGCGTTGCGTGGGAAGTGCAGAGTCAACCTAGACGTCATTTTTTCTGCTACCTGAGTCTCGCTGTATTTATTATTAATCTGTTATTTGCCTTTGTGCAAGACTTATCCTCACTTCAATAAATCATTACTAATATCGGGACATTTTTTAATAATAGCATTGAGGAGTTTATAGGCCGTAAAGGAATTCGTCATCTGTAACCAATAGTTAGTAAAACTGTTTACAACTCAGTACTTACCTCTGTTGAACATTTTGCTGGACAAAATTGCTTACTATAGTGGATCTATTCATTAATTTTATGTACACTGGTATTTTTGAATGTGATAACAAATGGCTAACTTATATAGATGTGATTTCATATTATCTATCTTAATACCAATATTAATCGAGGTTCATGTGGTTGGTATTATTTACGTTCAGAATGACCTTCTGTGCAGATGAGGTCTGAACTCGAACTGACTGACTGTTAGGATTGTATTACTTAATATTAAGATAAATTTTCAATACATTTGAATCTGAAATTTTCGTGTTTTATTTCAAAACGGCATTCTTGCAGGTAGGTAACCAAAATAGCAAAATCCAGATTTTTCAATCTATTTTGCAGAAACGTTTGCTTTTGGCAAAACTAGTGAGGTGCAATACCACTTTCACTATCTAGCACTATATTTCAGTAAGTTAGCTATTTCCTTGATGCAAGTAACACTGAATTATTAATAAAACTTGGAGTTGCTCCCTTAGTCCATTATCGTTGAAAGATCGTTTATTGTTCACATGGTATATATCAGCAAGGTAATTTTTATCAACTTATATAACATAAAAACTAGTTTTACCAACAAAGTTAACTAACATGGCTGAAAATATAATTCAAAAGATATAAAATCCATCATTTTAACTTAACTCTGTAACATAATTTGAACCAAAAATTTTGCATCAATTTAGAAATCTCTCTGTTTTCTTGAACAGTTTGTATATCTGTGTTTTACAAGCAATTTGGCCCTGGATTAATTTGAAGCTGTGAACTTGTGTCAGTTTTGTATACCATATTCCATACTAGGACGCTTCGTATTTTTCTGAAGCTTTAGAACCATAGTATGGTATTGTTTGTACAAATGATTCTCTTGCTTATGAACGATCTATGGCACAAATTTTTATGTAATAAGGATTAGTTTAGTTTATTCTAGCCAACTGGTAAGAGTTCTACCGTGGAGTTTAGCATGATTAGCTTTTTTGAAACTTTTTTTCATTTTTAAATGGGAGCAATGGCTATTTTTGCACTTTTTCTAATTTTCGCTATATTTGGTTTTCATGACTTGTGGTAACCACAGCAACATTCTTTTTTTTGTACTAGCCAAATTTCATGTAAAATTATATTACTTTTTCATTTTTACATTAGAACCTTGCCACTTGGCTTACTTATACACCGTTTATAATTTGTAACATTGTAAATATATACCGTAATGTTTAGTAAAATGATTGTGATTTATTCTCATTTTTTTTTTTTCATGTACAAGAGTTTTTTAAAACTTGCAGCTCGGTGTACTTGTGTAGATATGTTATTCCTGAAGTAGCTCATAAGATGCTCGCTAAGGCAAAGTCACAATTACCCTCAAAATTTCAAATCAATTTATTTTTGTCCAGTATGAAATCACATCTTGAGAAGTTAAAATTGTCATGTTAACAAAGAGATAGTATTCCTACAATCAACGTTTTTTTCTAGATCAAGCATCATACTGGATCATTACTATCAGTATTGGGATTTTACAAAAACTAAAAGTACAACGTTGTCAATTTATAATTGAACTGACTTAAATAAATGCAAATCAAGAATAACAGGTCTGCAGTAACATTAGCTGTTTTCGTTCTTTGGCTCTTGTATGTTTCTACGTTTTCGTAATTATTTTTATGTTAGAAATGTGACAAAGAGTTACTTCAACTTGGCTCGTCCCTATCCCTAGTTTATCGTTAGCCTTAAATCTTAGTTTATTGGCAGAAGTTATCAGAAGATGTGTATATAAAATACTGTGTATTCTGTTCGGCTGTATCTTATCCACTCTTTAATCTGTTTGTATGTGCTTTAGTTAAGGTCAATAAACTACTATTATTATAAATTTGTTTGTTTGAAGATTTAGTGAGCATTAATGCTACAATGTCAATTTTGTATAATTATACTTTTACACATTTTTCGAATGAATTTACTGTAATTTTACGTTCTTGTCTATTAAAATTAGGGTATTTATGGTGATTTTTTTGATTTCACTTGTAATACAATTAAAGTATTTTATTATACCGGCATTCCCATTTTTAGGGAGATTCATGGCTTAGATCATTTTTGCAGACAGATTCAGTAAAACATAATATGGTTAACTTGCTTTTTGCCATTGGACTAGATAAGGTGATCAAAAAGTAATATCGCAAGGACAGCTAGGTACTCAAAAAGTGAAAATTGAAAAAAGAGATTTTGAAATTTTATACTAATGGGTGATTCAAATTGAGTTTCCACATTATAAATTTTTTTTTTGAAACGCCACTGAATTTGTCAGCGACAAGTTGCCATTTCTAACGTCAAAATGTAAACAAAACAGTCATTGGACAATATACAACCGAACAACGTGCTTTACGTAAATTTTTTGGCGCACAAAATCGGCCTTGTGAAAGGACAATTTTGAATTTAGTGCAAAAATTCGAGCAAACTGGATCCGTCGCTAACATCAAAACAGCTAGGCATGCTCATAGAGGTCGGTCGGAACACAATATTGCTACTGTTGCCGAAAGTGTGGCCGAAAATCCAAAAACATCGATTTGTCATCTATCGCAGCAACTGGACCTTACCTATTCCACTCCACAGCGGATTTTAACAAAAGATTTGAAGTTACACCCATACAGAGTCCAAATAACTCAGGAATTGAAGCCTAGGTCACACATCAGGAGAAACTATGCAATTACTGCACGACAAGTCGCGTTAGTTCACGTAACGGCGATATTAATTGGCCGCCGCGATCCTGTGATTTAACCCCCTTAGATTATTTTCTTTGGAGGTATCTCAAGAGCAAAGTCTACAAGAATAACCCGAACACAATTGCGGAGCCGAAACAGGAGATCAGACGCGAAATTACCAACATAAGACCTGATTTGTGCCACAGAGTAGTCGAAAATTTCTCGAAACGGATTACGTCATGCCACATGAGCCGCGGCGGTCATTTACTTGATATCATCTTTTAACCAAATTACCAACATAAGACCTGATTTGTGCCACAGAGTAGTCGAAAATTTCTCGAAACGGATTACGTCATGCCACATGAGCCGCGGCGGTCATTTACTTGACATCATCTTTCAAACAAATACATATCTTTTATAATTTTCTATTTCTTCTTTTTTTTTTTAAATAATTTTAATGTGGAAACCCAATTTGAATCACCCTATACAAACCTGAACTGAAAAATTGAGTCAACTAAATTGACTCATTTCCCACGCGATGAAATAAATGATTCAAGGTTTCATATACTCGAGCATTCAAGTTAGTAAAATAATTGAAAATTGACTTATAGTAACTGTCTATATTACGGCAAAGTTTAGCTTGGCTGTTACTCGCTCAGCCATAATATAAACAATTTATTTAAAACGCGCATTTAACAGTTAAAGAGGAAAATACTATACTATACTGTATTCAAATATCATTTACGCACCGTCGAAACAAACATCATCGCACGACGATCACATTCGCGCGGTGTTGTTGACCATCGGTCCACAAATCGTCTGCTTTATATGTTTCCGAATTGAAAATTTCTGTGTATCAGCCCATATTCACGGTCGATCATATGCTGTTTCAATATTTGCGGTAGCTTATCAAGTTATTTTGGAAAAAATTGGAAAACGCACGTAGGTCGCTTCGTGAGAATTTTCAAAAGCTTTCTGTCAGATAGAGCTAAACTATGTTTTTATTAAAGTTCTTGTTATTATACTTCTTTAAGATATACAGAATTTATTTCATTTACTTATAAGCAAAGAATCATATTTCCAGCCAAGGGGGCGATTATTTCAGAAAATTTGTTTTAATTTTTTTAGTAAACATTGGTCTGCTTACAGCAGAGTTTTATGTAAAAAAGTTCAGATCGACTTTTGAATTTTGGATTTTCTCTAAAAAATTTCCCTCAATGTCCATGCCTAAAATTGATGTAGATTATGATACAAATATTAGGTGATGAGATGAAGAAAACAACTCGAACCGTCAAAGCAATTTTTATTGAAATAAAAACTAAAAGAAAAACAACTAACGTTAACATTATCTTTTGACATATTACCAGCTAATGTTGATGTATTATGATACACAAAAAACAAAGGCAAAATTATCAAAAATTCATTTCGTTTCATGGCGATTTTTTTTTTTTGTTATTTTTACGTTGTTCTAGTTTAATATCATTTATATTATTACTATTTCTCATCAGTCTTTGTAACTCAATACTGTCATAACTAGTATCGTGGTGGCTAGACATGTAAGGGTTCAAAAAGATCTCCAGCTCCCCTTATTGCAGTATGAATTGCACTGTGGGCAGAGTCTCCCTCACTCTGGCCATGATTCGACCACCGAGGTGCGTATACTAACAAGGATTAATGCACACTTGAGACCTATCTTCATTTAGGTCTCTCCGTGGGTATTATATATTTACCTTTGCAGATAAGACACCCAGGGGTTAATGGTGTGCTGCCTACACTAACAGATATATACGAGTCCCTTCCACATCAGTTGGCCCAACTATTGAAATCTTAGATTTTTTCTTATCAAACACAAATAATACAAATGTGCAGGGTGTTATAGGTTTAAAATATTAACAATGAATATTTTGATAATATATAGTAGAAAACACCAACTTTATCACTCCCTAATCAAATTTGCAGCATAAAAATAACACATGTTGCAATTATAGCATATCAACCTATTTTCATTTCAATGCAAAATAAGTCTATAACGCATAGGTGGCTGTGAAAAATAACAGCCATGTCATTTGTTTTTATTAATCACAGCTGTCAGAATACGTTTAAAATAGTTTTGGGTAGTTAAGGTTTTCAAAATGGGTAGAGGAAAAGTTATTAGTGAGAAAATTCGGTTACTGATAATTAATTTTTTTAATTCTGGGACATCAAATTCAGAAATTGCAACTTTGTTAGACTTATCGCGGTAGAGTGTGAGAAATATTGTTAGAAGATATAACGTAACTGGTTCAGTTAATATTAAGCCACGATATGTGAAAAAAATAATATCACAAATGCCGACCGAAGAGCACTAAGAAGAATAATCGTGAAAAACAGGCGTGCCAATTATTTACAATTAAGTGCTCTGTGGAGTGACGCTGTTGGAAGGAGAATTTCGAGGTCCGCAACTCATAGAGAGGCCTACAAACTGGGATTTAGCACTTGCAAGGTAAGTTTTCTTATAAAAAAAGTGAAGTTGCACAACTTGTTTATAGGCCAAAGAAAAGCCACTATTAACTCCACTGAAAAAGAAAAATCGGCTTAGATGGGCTAAAGAACATAGACAATGGACACCTCAACAATGGTGTGCAATACAATGGAGTGATGAGGCCCGATTCGAAGTTTGTGTTGGTGACAGTCGCAGTAGAGTTATTCGCATAAAAAATGAAGCATTCCATGTTGACTGTCTGAAGAGAAAAGTGAAATTTCCAGCATCCATTATAGTCTGGGGAGTATGTCATCAAAAGGAGTAGGAAAACTTCATTTTATTGATGGTAATGTGGATACAAACAAATATTTGGCAATTTTAGAAGAATTGCTTTTACCAGTGATGGAAGAATGTTTGACATCCGGCCAAGATTTTGTGTTTCAGCAAGATGGTGCAGAGTGCCATACGTCAAAAAAGGCTATAAAATGGATGGAAGAAAATAATGTACCACTTTTGAAACTTTGTGGCACGATATGAAAAAGGTTCTACGACAACATCCTGCACGTTCAATCACCAAACTGAGACAAAAGCTTCAAGAAATATGGGATTGTTTTACACCAATTTTTTTCCAAAACTTGGTTAACACTATGCCCCAAAGAATTTCAGCCGTAATAAAAAATAAAGGTGATGTTACCCAATGGTAATCTTTCAATTGTTGCTTTGTTAACTTCGCGCATTTATTCGCACATTGTTTATTTGTTCAGATGTTCTATTAGTTATAGGTCTAAGTGATTTCAAATATGTATTTTTTACGACTAGAGTGTATCTAAAATGTTTTTGAGAAAATAAATTGTTTTAGAAGTAAATAGTTTCGTCATGTTTAGTTTATAAAGGCATATTTTGGTACAAATCTTGAAGTGGGCCAACTGAAGTGGGAAGGGGCTCGTAGTTATGCCTCTTCGTCAGATTAACCGGCATGGAATAATACACCTATGTATAGTATATGCGGGTTAACTCAATTTTTGTCAGTTGGGACACTTCTTGAGAAAGGCGACGAAATGAATGAGCAGGCAGTGGCGAAAAGCCACCCCCCGGACCTTAAAATTTTCATATTTAGCATGATTTTGTGTAAAATTTTCAAGATTTTCTACCTAACATCAACCTGTAATCTAAAGAGGTATTTTAGGGCCCATGCTTACAAGAACTTTTAGTGTTATTCTTGGACCTACTTTCTATCCCAGAAATAGTAACACGATTTTCTGAATTACTCTATTGTTAGGAACTCCTCGATTTTGTCACATCTATTATCTACGAGTATGTACTGGGCCGGCCGTTATCGGTCGGTTTGGAGGTCAGTCAAGGTACGACCATCAACGCACTCGTGTGTATTTTGCTGTCTCTGCCCAGTGTGTTGTATTTACGCGAGTACTATTTTGGTGTTGTTTTTCTTATCGAATCTAAAACTATATATCTCTATTCCATAACTTCAACTCTCTATTATGAAACCATGGTAAATTTTAATTAGCATATCCACACGTACAATATGTAGTATGTAGTATACTACATCGTAGTAGCAAAAATACCACCATGACTTGATCAATAAATAATTGTTTTGAACCATCAAGCCATTTGGGTTGTGAAATAGAAATTTCAAAGTTGAAGCTTGAATAACCCTATTTTGATTTTAGAAAATTCTAAGGTCAAAATCGAATAAGTCGTTTAAGCTGTAGTCCGTGAAATAGACATATGCTATAGCCCGTGAAATTTCAAACTCGAAATTTTCGATTATATATATATATACACCATTTTGATTTTATAAATTTTTAGCATACCCAGTGTAATTCACACTGTACAGATAAAGCTAGAGACAACCTCATGAATGCTGTAACCCGTTAAATAGAAATATCAAGATTATGTTTTCATTTAAGTCCGCCTTTTTAATAAAATTCTGATAGAGCCAGTGTCTGTCACTCGCACTTTAAGACGAATTCAACAAAACTTCATACATGTCAAAACATATCAAGCTGTTTAAGCTGTAGCCTGTGAAACAGGAATTTCCCCCATGTTCGTCTGGACAATGAAACCACATATACAATGTTTTTTTAATGCATACGTATTCTTCTTCAGTACCTACCTACGTAAAACTTTTGACAGTGTCTTTCGCGCAGCTTAGACGAATTCGACAATACTCATATCTCAAAATCCATCTATCCGTTTAAGCTGCAGCGATTGAAATAGGAATTTAAGGGTTGAATCTTTTTATAAAAATTTTGATATAACCCAGTGTCACTTCCACCGTTAAACTGAATCAACAGTACCTCGTATATCAAAATCTATCAAGCCTATTAAACAGTGAATAGAAATTTCAAGAGACATTCTAGCAATGCATGTTATTTAGGTGCGTAGGAAATGACTCAATCCACTTGGAAAGCAACGGAAACGGGTGAAGTTACAAATGAAAATCAACGAATATGCGATGAATTTTTAATTTTTTTTTCCAAATGGCGGAGAAAAATTAGCAAAAATACTACAAAAAGCGATTCTAATAAATTTGAGTTTACATGGAAAAAGATTAGTAAACTCATCTGTTCTCACCGCAGTCGATGCTCAAGAAGTTTTTAACACTATTATGTCCTTGAAAAATAGTAAAAGCCCAGGATCTGATGAATACAGAGCTGAACATCTGAAGATGATGGCCAAGCGAATATCAGAACCATTTGCTCATGTTATAAATAAATGTCTTCGGTCTGGAATATTTCCCTCACCTTTTAAATCAGCTGTTATCATTCCTATCTCTAAAACGGCGATAATATGGACGTTACGAATTATCGACCGATATCACTCATATCGACTTTGGCTAAGGTATTCGAAAAATGACTCTCTAGTAAGATGATAAATTCAAAATTTTAAATCCAAATCAGTATGGTTTTATAACAGGAAAATCTACCACAGATGTGTTGTAAATCTAGTAAATCAAATCACCCAAAACTTTGATGAGAAAATTCCATCTATTTGTGTATTTGTCAATCTGAAAAAGGCATTCGTTACAGTTAATTACAGTTTACTGTTAAATATTTTAGAAAAATTAGGTTTTCGTGGGAAAATATATTCTTTGGTGCAAAGTTATTTATCAAAAAAGCCCCAAGTAGTGAAACTATCAAAATCATACAGTAAGGAAATGTTTGTCAAATGTGGTGTACCTCAGGGTACAGTGTTAGGCCCTCTTTTACGAAGGATGTCTTTCTAGTTTTGCATATAGAAACATAGTAAGCCGCGCGGATCGAAGGTCAGTACTGAATCTTAACCTCACTCTTTAGTAAACTTAAATTCAAAGTTTCACAACAATACGTGCAGTGTTCTCACTACAGTGAATGTGTAAGTGTCAACAAGTCATTAGAAAAATGGAACTCAACCGATAACATTTTCGCGGCATAATTTATTACAACTTTCAGAGACAATTATCGCAACAAGAACGCCTTGCTGAGTTACTGTCTGTTTTCGGCAACGAAGCGCCACATCAGTCGACAATTACCCGTTGGTAGGGAGAATTCAAACGTGGACGGGTGAGCCTTAGCGACGATCCCATGGTGGGTGCACCAAAAACGGTGGTCACCCAGGAAAACGTCGATGCTGTGCGCAAACTCATCATTGAAGATAGACATGTGACATATCGCGAGATTGAGGCGTGCTTGAAGATCTCAAAGACCTCAATTCAAAAAAATTTACATGAAGAGTTAGGAGTAAGAAAATTAGTTTCTCGTTGGATACCCCACCTGTTGACTGAAGAGCAGAAAGCAGGCAGGGTTACTTGGTGTCAAAAAACGCTTGATCGTTTCAATTCCGGAAACTCAAAAAATGTGTACAGCATTGTTAGTGGTGATGAATCGTGGATTTACTGTTATGAACCAGAAAATAAACGACAGTCGGCTGTTTGGGTGTTCCAAGGTGGAGAAAAGCCAACAAAAGTCATCCGTTCTCGAAGTGCTTCGAAAAAGATGGTCGCGACATTTGTGTCAAGGTCGTATTGCAACAATTCCACTTAATGAGCAAAGAACTGTTACTGCGGATTGGTACCATTTGTTTCCCAAAAGTCATGACTGAGCTTCGAAAAATCAACCCCGAAAGAAGAATCATCCTCAACCAAGACAATGCAAGCTCGCACACAGCCAAAAAAACAAGGCAGTATTTAACGGAAGAAAACGTGGAATTATAGGACCATCCTCCATTTAGTCCCGATCTAAGCTCTAACGATTTCTTTACTTTCCAGAAAATTAAAAACAGACTGCGTGATCAAAGGTTCCAGTCACCAGAAGAAGCAGGTGACGCATTCAAAAATGCTGTTTTGGATCTGCCAGCAAACGAGTGGAATAAGTGCTTCGAAAATTGGTTCGAGCGCATGCGGATGTGTATTAATCTTCGTGGAGAATACTTCGAAAAACAATAAAAGTCATTTAAAACTACCTACCGTGTTGTTTTATTTCCATATGCAAAACTTAAAAGACATCCCTCGTATTTAATATCTATTTGAATGACATATTCAATATTAATTGTGTAGGTAAAATAATTAGTTTTGCTGATGATACGGCAATAATATATAAAGGGCAAGATTGGTATGATGTAAAGAGAATAATTGAGAATGACTTTTATAAAATCATTCATTTTTTCAACACTAGAAAATTAACAGTGAACTTTGAAAAAACTCATTTTCTACCCTTCACATCATACGCAAGACATCTACCAGATTATTCAAATATTTCCTTCAAAATAAACAATACAAATTTACAAATTGATAGAGTGGGCAATATCAAATATTTAGGAATTTTTTTAGACCAACATTTAAGGGACATTCATGCAGCCTACATTTTAAAGAAAATAAGATTTGTTACATACAAAATTAAATTCCTCACACGCATATTGACAGAAAATTATATGCGTACTAAATATCATGCCTCAATTGAGCCACACCTAAGGTATGGATACAGCATGTCCAGTGTACTTAAACGACATAGAAGTTTTACAGAGAATTGTTTTAAAAATTATGTTCAGAAAACCAAAATTATATTCAACAAATGACTTCTATAACGAAACAAAATTATTTTATATCAAGCAACTTTTTTTACATACTATTAGCCATTATCACAAAGTTGTCAGTGAGCGCAGTAAAATCACACATTGCCATCATACATGATATAAATCACGAGCAAAAACTGTCCCTAAGCCTCATAAAACAATAATGAAGCGATCTTTTCTCTATTTTGCCCCAAAATTATATGAACACATACCCAAAGACTTAAAACAATTTCGAAATACACATAATTCTAATAAATTATCAGAATGGATACGCGCAATAGGAAGACAAGACATTATTGAATTCCTGTCAAATATTCCTTAAAAATTATTATCCTCTACATACACACCTCTGTGATATAAGTTTTTCTTTAAATTTTTTAATTTTTTTGTTTTGATTTGTTGGAACACATTCCAACATACGACTGATCCATGTAAAGGCATTGTCCTTCTATAGATTGAAACATTTATTTACCCATTCTATATTGTTATTGTTCTTATATAATGGAGTGAATAAATGTCTACTACTACTTGACTATTACTACTAACTCGAAAAAATGATAGAATGAATGAATTTATTAGCAAATGTTTATCTATTTTATTATCATTTCTATCCGCAATTGTATTATGAACATAGTAATAATATAGTGACGATATTCTGAAAGCTAAGTTTCTCCTCTCTGATCAGAAGTATCATTATAAACACCGACGACTTCGTAATATAAAGGATTTACTTAGCAGTGTTTTTTCACAGAAATATTTGATACGCAAATCGATAAGAAGATATGGAATTTTTATGACGTATGTAGCAGTGAAATTATTTTCGCAATCTTAGAATTATTTTTGTAACGACGCAATAAGATTATGCAACATATGGAATGTTTTATCCAAATTCTTTGGAAATATGTATATCCCAGTTGCCATATCCAATACAAATATGAAGTAAAAATACCAGATTATAAGACATTCGAAAGTGGGCTCCACTCTCGACCATCTATCAAACCACGCCTGGGATTAAGGTTAAACGAATTTTAGGAAAATATTACTGACTGTTGTTTAGTTAGCTAGCTTTTTTCATTTCTTTGTCTCGAGCTTCGGTATTGTAATTGATAAGATTGGATTTAGTCGATTCTGTGTTCCTGTCTCTGAGTCAAATTAATGATGGGTAAAAAATATTATAATACTTCCTCGCCAGTAGGCGCATGGGAAGTAAAAACCCAGTATATATGTTTTGTACAAAACCCCAAAACGATGCGTTTGTTTGAATAACTAAACATCCAATTTGTTTGGAAAATGTGGTTTTAGGCTCCATGATCCCTTTCAGGCTAAAACAGTCTACCCTCCGACTGAGTTATCGTGAGTAGGGGCCGGCTTGGTTCACTTGATCAATTTATATTTATTTTTTTATTGTTCATTTTATCATTTCTTTATTTTTGATAAATAAAGTTTACTTTACTTTTAGTTTTATTATGATCATTGCAAACTGTCTACTCAGAAAGGCTACTGGCGAGGAAGTAAAAATCCAGTATATATGTTTTGTACAAAACCCCAAAACGATGCGTTTGTTTGAATAACTAAACATCCAATTTGTGTGGAAAATGTGGTTTTAGGCTCCATGATCCCTTTCAGGCTAAAACAGTCTACCCTCCGACTGAGCTAACGTGAGTATGGGCCGGCTTGGTTCACTTGATCAATTTATATTTATTTTTTTTATTGTTAATTTTATCATTTCTTTATTTTTGATAAATAAAGTTTACTTTACTTTTAGTTTTATTATGATCATTGCAAACTGTCTACTCAGAAAGGCTAACTTTCCAAGAACTGCCGTTCTCATTGAGAAATTAAGCTTTATTCATATCCGTCAACTACACTTCATCGAAAACATCCAAATTTTGTGCTCTTTTCTATAATCAAGATACAAGTACAGATTATAGAGTTATTAATTTCATATCAAAGCTTCAACTAGACAAGTCTGTCAGACCCTATTTTGAGTAAGATCTTATTCCTTTCTAATGATCATAAAAATTATTGTACCTATTATTCATGCAACTTTAGACTATACCTTGTATGTGGTGGTGGTGGTATCTCGTGTATGTTTAACGTCAGTTCTTAAAGCATTAAGTTCAGCACAAGTTTATTCCTCTGAGAAAAAAAATAGTTACGAACATTTACAATAGAAAAATTAAACCGATAAAGTTAGTCAAACAGGCCCGTACAAATTACAGAATACTTAATTTATTTCTGTAAATTGTGGTATCAGCAGAACAATCATGCAGATCCTTATACCGGGCGCTGAGCCCAGATACCAGAAGGTGACACAACAAAATCGCTTCTCTATCATTCAAAATTTTAACACAAACTTATGGTGAAACCTATGATGTGTGAAATATGGCTAATAGATGCGTAGAATTACTGGGGCTGGGATCGTATAAATATACTAATAAAAAATGAGATATACCACTTCCACCCCCTTTCTGGAACGTCAAAAAACCAAGTTTGAGCGACTTTAATTCTGTTGTTTTTGGCCTTTTTCTCCGCCGCTACTGAACCGATTTTCAAAAACTACAAAGCTTCTCCGTCCTTAGCATAATAGTAACCTTATGTAAAAATACCATCCAAATCCGAGCAACACTTTTCAAGTTATAGAAAGGTCAAGGATTAGCGGACAGACAGACTGACTGAAATGAGTCACATGGTTTTTTGTGATGTACTTGTCATATTCCAAAAACATAAATCAAATCCAAGCGAATAACCAAAATTTCTGTGTTATGTGCCGCGGTCATAATATGGTTCAAGATGACACACGGGTTGATGACGTCAGTTACACGAATCGCTTGAACGCGTTGGTTTTAACCGCGGTTTTGTTGCAAGTTGTTTATTTTAGAAAAGCGCGTATATAATCTCTGATTATTTTTATTATCACTTAATAATCGGTGCTTTTTCGTCTACAACTGTGTATGGAAAGTTTAAATGAGAAACCTTTCATAATATTCATGGGAGAAATGTTTTTTCAGATTTTTTTTAATGATGGAACCGTGGCTTTGTAGCTATGATAACTTTCAATTCTCTAAATTTTTCTGCATGTCAAAGAATACATTTATTGATTCAGCAGAAATGATGACAAAAGAAATTAGCAAAACCGTATACAGGTAGATATCATCTAGTGAGTTTATATGGCCATATTTTAATATTCTTGTGGTATATGGCTACACAGAATACTTTGTTAAGCATAGGAACTACATTTAAAGTGTCCCCAACAACCGTAATGAGTATAACTAATAAGGTGCTCCACTTTATGGTAAAACTGTCAGCCTGTATCAATTTTCTCAAAAATGAAGCTGAAGTACAATAACAATATCCAATACCCGCCAAAATTCTAACTTGTCACATTTCAAATAATAACCAGAAATATAAAACTACTCTTGAGTTGGGTAAATACCACAATTTTGCGGTGATAACTATGACATATAACAGCTGATTCGTGACGTCACGGATCTTATAACGAAACTGATAACTACACTCGCTTGAACGGATCGGTAAATACCAACCCAAAATGGTAAATACTATTTCCATTTGGTTATCCGCTTGAATTTGATTATAAATATATCAATTTGTCGCGATTACAATAATCAAATCCAAGCGAATAACCAAAATTTCTGTGTTATGTGCCGCGGTTATAATATGGTTCAAGATGACACACGGGTTGCTGACGTCTGTTACACGAATCGCTTGAATGCGTTGGTTTTAACCGCGGTTTTGTTGCAAGTTGTTTATTTTAGAAAAGCGCGTATATAATCTCTAATTATTATTATTATCACTTTATAATCGGTGCTTTTTCGTCTACAACTGTGTATGGAAAGTTTAAATAAGAAGCCTTTCATAATATTCATGGGAGAAATGTTTTTTCAGATTTTTTTTTAATGATGGAACCATGGCTTTGTAGCTATGATAACTTTCAATTCTCTAAATTTTCCCGCATGTCAAAGAAAACATTTATTGATTCAGCAGAAATGATGAAAAAAGAAATTAGCAAAACCGTATACAGGTGGATATCATCTAGTGAGTTTATATGGCCATATTTTAATATTCTTGTGGTATATGGCTACACAGGATAATTTGTTAAGCATAGGAACTACATTTAAAGTGTCCCCAACAACCGTAATAAGGTGCTCCACTTTATGGTAAAACTGAAGTCAGCCTGTATCGTTTTTCTCAAAAATGAAGCTGAAGTACAATAACAATATCCAATACCCGGCAAAATTCTAACTTGTCACATTTCAAATAAGAACCAGAAATATAAAACTACTCTTGAGTTGGGTAAATACCACAATTTTGCGGTGATAACTATGACATATAACAGCTGATTCGTGACGTCACGGATCTTATAACCAAACTGATAACTACACTCGCTTGAACGGATCGGTAAATACCAACCCAAAATGGTAAATACCATTTCCATTTGGTTATCCATTTTGGGTTGGTATTTACCGATCCGTTCAAGCGAGTGTAGTTATCAGTTTGGTTATAAGATCCGTGACGTCACGAATGAGCTGTTATATGTCATAGTTATCACCGCAAAATTGTGGTATTTACCCAACTCAAGAGTAGTTTTATATTTCTGGTTATTATTTGAAATGTGACAAGTTCGAATTTTGCCGGGTATTGGATATTGTTATTGTACTTCAGCTTCATTTTTGAGAAAATTGATACAGGCTGACTTCAGTTTTACCATAAAGTGGAGCACCTTATTAGTTATACTCATTACGGTTGTTGGGGACACTTTAAATGTAGTTCCTATGCTTAACAAAGTATCCTGTGTAGCCATATACCACAAGAATATTAAAATATGGCCATATAAACTCACTAGATGATATCATTTCTGCTGAATCAATAAATGTTTTCTTTGACATGCCGAAAAATTTAGAGAATTGAAAGTTATCATAGCTATAAAGCCATGGGTCCATCATTAAAAAAAAATCTGAAAAACATTTCTCCCATGAATATTATGAAAGGTTTCTTATTTAAACTTTCCATATACAGTTGTAGACGAAAAAGCACCGATTATTAAGTGATAATAAAAATAATCAGAGATTATATACGCGCTTTTCTAAAATAAACAACTTGCAACAAAACCGCGGTTAAAACCAACGCGTTCAAGCGATTCGTGTAACTGACGTCATCAACCCGTGTGTCATCTTGAACCATATTATAACCGCGGCACATAACACAGAAATTTTGGTTATTCGCTTGGATTTGATTAATAAAATAAATTCTTACTCGCTGAGTGGCCTGGGAAGAAAAATCAAATAAACATGGCAACGTCGTTCTGCTTGACATGTGAGTGCGATGTCGTAACCTGAAAAATTAAAAGTAAATAAAAGCAGGGATCACAATCAGAAATGATTGCTCTGCTTTCCCCGGTACAAGCTTGAAAAAAATGTGGGCAAAACGCAAGTGAAAAGCTTACTCGTCAAAAAATATCCATTAGATATTTCGCAGGTATGTACTTGATACCGTAATTAACCCACATAACCTGAGCCTGGAACCAGTAATTCGACTAATTGAATATAAATAACGTAATTTGCAGCATCCCAATGCTAGTCATGCATTTATCACTGAATTTGATCATTTTCGTCTTGCTGACTTGTGTGAAACTCGCCCATTTGTGTACCAACGATGGGTACCCCTTTGAGTGCTACTTATCTACCATGACACCATACCGGACTGTTTCCAACAAGGATTTTTACAAAATTCAATTTGATGGTGAGTAATTGCATTCTGTTAATTTACCCATTATCATTGTGTAAACTTTAGAGCACCTTTGGAGTTTTATTTAAATATTTTCAGGGAGTTTCCTAATTGAATGTCAATATTTAAATGGGCGATTTTTGGGTGAATCTTTTGAGATACAGGGTAGTAAAATTGTTAATACAGAAAGTTACTGGCATACCAAACAATTGAAATCAGTATTAATTTATGAGTAGATATGATCTCTAGAATTTGTTTGGTATGTCTTCATGGAGATATTGTCATATTAACAATATTGTAATGATCATGCAGAAAAATTGTTTTTATTTTTTTAAGCGAAAACCATGCATCAGAATGAAAAAATTAAGTGATCTAATTTGCTTAGAAATGATCAGGGATTTCAAGAATGCCTCTAGATGCATAGTATGGGGATGCCAAATTTCACTAAAATATCTGAAGTGGACAGTAAATGATTTATTTTTTAAAACTTTACCACACTGTGTGTCAAAACATAACAGACCTGGGACATAAATTTTCTTCTTAAAATGGACCCAAAAATCACCCCCTTCAATATTGACATTCAGTTAGGAAACACCCTGTATATTGTAAAGATTTGGGATCATAAAAGATTCAGACTTTACTCAAATACAATGTAACTGCTTTTTTTGAAGTATCAGATGGATAACTGGTCAATTGCAGAGTAGTTACATAATAAACTGGGCACATAATATGAAACATAGCCTAAAAATCATTCTAAATGTCATTTTTATGTAAACAGTTGAAGACATGTAATATTTTGTATGATCTCTGACTGTGAAATATGATAAGGAAAGTTTTTAACTAGGGCCAAGCTTACCTAGGGGCACCTGCTCTGAGACCCCACCTAAAAGTAGATTCAAAACAAGAATCAAGGGGATTCAGAGAAAAGAAAAGAAAACAAGTTTCAAAAAGAGCTCCAAATTTTGCATATTTTTGGAATCTTAAAATTTTATATGGAAAACCATGACTAGCATTTTTACTATAGTCAAAGTCACCAAAGATGACTACTAGGTCATACGATAAATTGTGAAGTGAAGTAATCAATGGACGTATGTCGATGATAAAACACGATGTCAGGAACATAATGACAACAAACTTATATTATGATTGGTACTGTTGCGACTTGTAGAACTTGGGATTTCACTGTTTTTTCACTTGAAACTTATAGAGGGTAGTCTGATAGACTTTTTAGATTTTTCATGAAATTTTTTTCCCAAATCACAGCATCTTTAGTAGGTGTTTCCCCTATTATTTTCACCGCCCTCTGCCATATATATTGTCTGTGCATATGTCATATGAGAAGTGCTTGCCTGCGGTGTTGCCGGATTGGGCTCCGCATTTAGGAAAAAATATGAAAAATTTATATACATATATTAAACAAACAAAATAACGAAAAATAAACAAAAAAAAAACTGAAATAACACAGCAGCAAATTAAAAAAGGATTAAGGGAATAATTATAGAAAAAAAATTGTACATTATGAGGTAGGAACAAAATATATTTTTGAACACATACATAGGTAGGTATGAGAAGTGATTGATCATTCACCACCTCACAGTACCTGCTTCAAAGCTGGGTATCAAGAATCAAGGTACAGGCTTGCTACCCTTTCTCGTTCTTATATTCTTAATCACTTGAGTCCTGACGGTTCCCCAGCAATACGACTACTACTACTTCATAATGCACATTTTTTTTTCCATAATTATTAGGAATCCCTTTTTAATTTACTACTGATTTATTTTAGTTTTTGTTCCTTTTTCGTTATTTTGGTTCATTAATATATATATTTTTCTCTAAATACTGAGCCCAATCCGGCAACACCGCAGGCAAGCGCCCTTATGACATATGCACAGATGTCATATGGCAGGTGGTGGTTGAAATAATGGTGAAAATAGCTGCTAAAAATACATTTTTTTTGGGAAAAAATTCTCATGCGTCCTTCATCCACACTTTTTTTTTGTTTCAAAATAATCTATCAAACTACCCTATATAAGTTTCAAGTGAAAAAACCGTGAAATCAGAAGTTCTACAAGACACAACAGTACCAATAATTTTAGTTAGGAGTTTTTGTTTTGAAAAAAAGTATTATTCGAAAACAACCTAACCTGCTTTAACATAACCTAGATATTCATCTTTAATATGATCGATTATGCAACATGAAAACATCGTCTATCTTTGTCGGATACATTCAAATTAGCAGTACAGTTTGTTTTTAGACAATACAACTGTGTTTGTCTCTGTCTAACATATCTGAAACTTCATTAAAAATATTCTCAAATCGCTGTCGTTTGTCTTTACTACAGACAAGAGAATATAAAAGTATTATATGTGAATTTGAAAATTTTCAAAGTTGTGATATTGGGTTTTTTGTATGTTATATGACACCCATATCACTCAAAACCCTGCTAATTATTTCCTCCTGTTGGTCTGTCAGATTGTTGCTATCAATTTGGGAATGCTTAACAGGGTTTGAAAATCAATCCAATAATGGTGGAGTAATCACCAAAAAACTAATAATGATATCACTCACACATTTTGTAGGAATTCTGACAATTTTCCAACGAAATGATTTTTAAAATTGACATAGTGACAGTGGAACTATGAACACATAATGAAGACTTTTAAAACAAGCCCAAATCCTGTATTTTTGCTTGCTTAGGGCATATTCAAAGAAAATATTTCATCATCACAAATGATGCTTTGAGTTTCCTTGGACCTGAAATATTGAACAGATTTATATCATTGTTTGGGAAGTACTGAGTCAATCTACTTACATCTATTTTTCTGCCAGTAGGGGGCAGCCATGATGTTCAAAATGAGTTCTATTTTGCATCTTGACATAAAATATATCAAGTTGAAATGTAATTATATACTACTGCCTAATTGATAGATCCTAAACAAAACTTTGCATTAAGTTACTATAGAGTGGACAGAAAGAACTATAACTGTGTTTCAAAACTGCAGGATGTAAAGCAAAAAAGGCATGGATGGTAGTAAGACATGGGACACGAAATCCAAAGGCTGCAACTATAGTAAGAATGAAGGAAAGGTTACCTTTAATAAAGCAGAAAATCCTAGATAGTAGTCATTTCCCAAATGAATATGTAAAAAATCACGATTTGGACCTATTCAGAAAGTGGAAACCTTCTGGTCATCCAAAGGATGAGAAAAAATTGGCACATGAAGGTGAAGAAGAGATGTTACTTTTGGCTGAAAGAATGCAAAACCGGTTTCCAGATGTATTTGAGAATGTTTACACAAACAAAACTTATAGGGTAAAAATCTATGACACAATCTACTCTAAAAACAGTTTCAAGAAGTTATCAAAATGGTATGCAAGAGCTCATGATCAGTGCTGTGGAATTTGTGGTAACATGATGCCAGAATATTTTGAGATTCACCCAAATGAAAAAGTGAAAATTCTAGCTAACAACTAAATTTTGTGCAAGAAATGTCTTCCCTATATAAAATTATCTATGAACGCATATTTTAACTATTTATCTAATTGTCAAGTAAAAATCAGAAAATATGGATTTTCAATGACTTGTTGAAATGATCATACAATATAATATTTGCAGTATTCAGTTCTATGCTAGAAGAGTTTCAGCAAGTAAGAGCATCTATAATCTACACAAAAAATCACAGAACTTTTCCTTGAAGCTGGGGATAAATTATGATAATATATAAAACTTGAATTTACAGTTCAAGTACACATATTCGCAAAGGACACAGAAAAGTGCTTACTACTTTGCCCGGGGACTTTTTGGTAAAGCCACTGCAAAATCAGTTTATTTTCCTGAACCTACCGAGCAAGATCCAATATTGAGGGTAAGCATATGAATATATTATAAAGTCTTTTAGTTTCATCAATCTATGCTCAGTGACAAAGAGGAAAATGTGTGTTGATTTTCCTTTTAACCATGATCAACAAATAAATACAATCAACTAAATAATATATAAATTTGTTGCAGTTTTACAAAATGTGTGAAAACTGGAACAAAAATATAAAGAAAAATCCAGAGGCTGCACTCGAAAAAAGGTTATTTGTGAGTGGAATTGAAATGAAACAGATTGTAAATAATATTAACCAGAGACTTGGATTTGAATCTTACTTAACTACTGGTAAGTATCATCAATTATTTATTTAATCAAGAGGCTGTAGGAATGTGCCAATTTCGGCTTTTCAAATCCGATTTGTAAAAAGAAAAACTTGCACACCGCGCCAGATTTGAATACTTACCCGCATTGAACCATTGGAGCATGCTAACCCGGACGGATCTTTTCCGATCCTAATATGTCAGTTATCTAAGGTTTTAGTATATGTGTTACTAGGAAAATTTGCTATGTAAAGTAAAGACACAACTATGAAGTCACCCTTCATAGTTGTGTTTGACAGTGCCATGGTATGTATGCTTATTTCCATTTGGATAGGATGATTGATTACTCGACAGGTTGATATGAGACAGTTATGAAAATTTGGGTATATAACTATTTTGAAAATGTAAATGTTATAAATAAAACATTATTTACCATTGAAGTTAATAATTTACTCGACAAAAAGCATTAGGAATGATGTGTTGTTTGTTTTTCTCCCCCAATAGTGAAATATTCATCATCAAGGATAAACACAAAAACTGTTAAATGGATAATTTATAGAAAATTGAAATAGGTCTCTCCGTGTTAAAGAACTATTTCAATTTTCTATAATACCAATTCCCCGGGTTCGTCGCTTCTTCATGATTTTAAAGTGATATTTTTTCTCAAATTTTTGTTGACCTTCCACTCAATGCTTATCAGGTTAGTACTTTTATTTTACCCGATTATTTGCACTGTAGAAAGAGTGTACAACTTTATTGAAACGCGTGCAACATGATGTGAACGATATATTTAGCAGAATCGAAAGAAATCGTGAAAATCGTTAAAGAAAGAGGGGCGAGGTAGGGGCCCGCGCTTCGGTTCCTCTCCCCACTTCCGGT